GGTTTTGCCATAAAGATGTGCATGCATTTCGCACTAAATAAATGGTATTTAAACTGGAACAGGATCGGGCTGCTTGAGCTCCACTTTCGAGAGCACTTCCGCGATTGAGTCCAGCTTTTTGTCCAGTTCGCATAACTAAAAAAGAACATTTCTACCTAAAATGATCCGAATTCAAGGGGTGACCCTTGCCTGTTGCTCTACTCGGTACAGCCGGGCGCCTACAGTCATCGACTTTTTATGTCCCCCTTTATCAACGCCCCCCGTATACGTGCCAGGCTTGCCCAGAGACTGATCCAGTCGCCTTTGAAGCTCCTGGAACAAAAGAGCCTCTCGCAAGGCTTGCCTTGCGTTTGTCCATCCGACTCACCTTAATCCTCCACATCATATTCAAGTGGCCCTGACTGTACTGCTCAATCACATCGCGGACATCGTAGGGTTTGCGGGCCTGTTGGAATTTGCGTCTTGCCACAAAATACTTGATTTTCCTGATTGCTCTAATTGCGTTTTTATGCGCGTCTGTCAATCTGCAACGGTTCAAGTTTACGCGATTTTTTTCGAACCACCCGAAGACACTCACTGGGTGACTCTGGGCAGTTCGTTGTCGTCGTCCACTTCATCTGAAGGCGCGTCTGTAGCTGTGCTGTTCTGAGCCACAAAGACTGCGCGATCCAGGCGGCGGAAGGACGGCCCTAAATGCCGTCCTGCGGATTAGTTTAGTGGTGGAGTGGATGCGAACGCTCGGCAAACTCACCAGCAGGTTGATCGTCTCTGCAGTAGGCGATGTCGCTTTCCGATATGCACTGGACCAGTTCGTTACCCCCCGAGTCCCGGGGATTCGTATGTACCGAAAAGTTCGACAAGGAAGCTGCCAGGTTTTCCATTTTGTTTCGCGATCGCATTCGCTTCAGAACTGAGATTTTCTTTATTACCTGTAAAGCAGGAAGAACAAGCTTTTTTGAACTTTTTTCCGACTCAACAGAACAGCCTAACAAACGTACAAAACTAACAAGATTCAGTATCATACATCAAAATGTTCAGTCTCTAGCAAACTGTGTGGATACTATTAATCACATGC